CACAGAAACTCAGAAGTCATGGTACAGCATCCGAGATGCTGAACATCCTTCCAACAAACCCCATGGTTTAAGGGTTTTGGTGCTCTCTTCCTCACATCTTGAAAAACTTGAGTGGTACTGAGTGTGAAAAAAAACGCAACAATTTCAGAGATAAAACATTATTTTGAAATATTTTAGGGTTGCCCATAGAAATAGTCACTGTACCTATTACTTTAACCTTTATTAGAGGTCTTCCCCTCAGCTTTTCTACCCCATAATGAAGAAAAAAATATTTTTTTTTGTTGGGAGAACTACATCTTTATAAGCACTTAGAAATAGAAGAGATCTAGGAATTCCTTGTCCTCATCAGTGCAAGAATTGGCACAACTCCATCTCTAGTCTCTCTTGGAGTTCATCCTGGGGCTCACTACTCCTGGGGAGCCTCTCCTCTGTTGGATAGCCCTAGTTTTAAGTAGTTTTAATGAGTTTTCTTTGTATTAAGCCAAAATCTGTTTTCCCATGGGTTCTACCCATCAGTTCTCATTGTGGCTTCTGAGACAACATACACCTCTGATTCGCCTTATAGCCCTCTAGATATTTGAAAACAGAGATCGTTGTGTTGTTTGTTCCTTCCTCTCCAGCCCCAAGTTAGAATTCCCTGGTCCTTCACTTTCCTATTGGATGACAGAGTTTGAAGCTTCTCCTCAATAAGGTCTGTCCCCTTCAGGTCTCTGTAATTGATAAGCTTCCTTTTTAAGGACAGTGGCTCCATATTGGAGCATCATACTACCATCAGGCCTGACTGCATCTGGACACCCACCTCTCTGGATGGAGCCCCAAACAGCCTCACCTCACAGTTTTCGCTTAAGTTTGTGGTAAGCTACATTTCCATGCTTTTTTCCCAAATGAAATTGTTTTCTCCATACTGCATTTATGTAATGACTTCGTCCAATTAAAGGATGTTCCAGTTTGCTCCTGTTAAATTTTCTCCTGTGAGATTAATCCTGGGAGGCACCCCTGTATGAAACATGTAATAATACTGGAATCAAACGTGTATCTGGAATATTAACTGTATTATCTTGGGGCAAATATATGACTTTTCTGAATCTCAAGTTCCCCAACTATAAAATGGAATAAAATACTCACAATTCATTTGTCCCTTTCTCACCTTCAATGTAGATTGGAAAAACGAACTACTCATCTTTTCAGCCTCTCTTATAGCTTTGAGTACCCATGTGACAGATTCTGGCCAATGATACACAAATGGATGTTGGCTTCTAGTCTGTTGGGGAAAGCTTTTGCATTTCAGCTAAGAGGGGTAGTTGCAGTGAGCATTTGTCCTTCTCCCCTACTTCCTGCTGTGAATGTAGAGATGGTTGTTGCCGCAGCAGCTACCTTGTGACCAGGAAGGAAAAGCAAAGAGAATAAGAGACACCATCTTTGACAGTGCTTAGATGCTAACTCAATACCTGTGGTTGCTTCCAGACATAATATATGAGAAAAAATACCCTATTATCTAACCAGCCAAACATATGCTTAACTTACTCAAGCTACTTGAAGTGTAAGGAGCAGGGACTGTGGATTGCTCAATTTCATTTACTTATTTTATTAAGATATATCCTTTGGTTGTCATAATTCATTATTCTAGACCCTGAGATCTTTTTGAACCATAATTCTATTACCCAATGACTGGCTATTCCTCAGAGCTTCGTGAAACCCACAATATTTAATAATATTCCAAGTCACTTAAAACATTGACAGGATAGGGCAAACTGGGGCCCCCTAGCCTACTAATAGAAACCTTTCTCATTGGATGGGGGTGTTCGCCCAGCTATGGATCTAATTGTGCTGTAAGTCCATCTATACTTCTCCGTCTTATGATCATGAAGCTCACGAGATGCCCTAGCCTAACTTTGAGTGAAATAAATATTCCTCGTATTCCTGGAGTGTCCTAATGCAATAGTCAAAACCTCCTTCCCAAGGGAAATGATGGCAGCATGAAATGAGTGTTGGGGTGTACCTGGAGTTTTGTCTCTACCCTTGCACCACTTGACTCCACTGTAGAGGTCATAGGATGTGGAGATGTGGCCCTTGTGAGGAGAGTGCCAGGAGTTTGGGGATTTTAAAGCACTTTTAGTTCTTAAAGGGCACCCGGTGAATTAATAACCATTTACTATCCAGCTGTTTCAATTCAGATTTGTTGCCCTGGGCTGCTTTTAACAGTTGAACCAAGAGGTCAACCTATTTGGCTTTGTATTCCTCTCTTGCTCATGGAAACTTTCTGACCTACAGATACTGTCGCTATTGGCAGAGTCTATTGCCTTTTTGTGACCTAAAATTTCCTAAAGGTCTTTGCTCCAAAAGCCCTTCCCGAGAGCTATAGACCATCTTGGTTTTGCCTTAACTCCAGAGCTTCACCTGGATCTGGGGCAAGCTCCTTTCACTGGATTGACAGCAGGGTAGACCAGCTGGCTTCTTTCCAGGTGACTACAAGCTCTCAATGGTCTCTCTTCTTTGGAGCCTGGGCCTAGTCTACAGGTCTGATGGGGCTGGGTCTTTACCATGTGCAATCCTCCCCTTACCTGCCAGCTGACTGGATAGGGATGTATTTGACTGAAAGTGGGTGAGATTCTCTCCTGAAGTTTCAAATGGGGCTAATAGAGGTTGTCTCTATACGCTTGGGAATTGAGGACCAGCCCTTTTCCTACCCCACGTGGGCCAAGTGGCAGAGGCAACTTTCTTTGGAGAGCAAACAGCACACAGAAGTGGGGGGCTGTAGGAGTTCCTCGTTCTCAGTTCTACGATCTTTCTTTGGCTCAACTGTTTCCTTTTTTTGAGTTCCATGAGACACCATTTTTTAAAAATTTTTAATTTTCAATGAGTTGACATTCAATATTATTTTATATTACACCTATGTTGTTACTTTGGTAACAACATAGGTGTAATAGTTTACTTTTGCTTAAGCTAGCCAATTGGTCTCTTATTTATGACAAACTGTAAGATAGGGTATTCCTCGATTTAAGTAGTAGCAAACCCTCACACTGACTCCACCCACCTCCTGCAAAGTAGCGTGGAAGTGTATATGGGACCTATTTTTCCTAGAGGGAGCAGCAGTCACAAACTGTTGATATTAGAATGAAGCTGGGATTCTGATGCCACGACTTACGACAGTCTCGTTCACTCTAACATAAAACAAACCGTTGACCTATAAGTTCCACAAACAGTCCAGTTAGCCCGCAAATGCTCAAATTTATAGGGGACCTGGGGCCATAGAACAGCAACAAAACTCAAGGATGCTAACCCAGCTGAGTTTTTCTTTTGAAATTGTGGTAAATATAAAACTTACCATTCCAACAATTTTTAAGTGTACACTTTGGTGACATTGAGTACATTTATAATGTTGTACGACCATCATCACCATCCACTTCCAGAAATTTTTCATCATCCCAAATGTAAACTCTGTAGTCATTAAAACAGGAACTCCCCATTCTCCTTTCCCCAGCCCCTGGTTACAATTATTTTGTCTCTGAATTTATTCAAGGTACATCATGTAGGTGAAATGAGATAGTATTTGTTTTTCTCTGGCTTATTTCGCTTAGCATAATGTCTTCATGCTTCATCCATGTTATAGCACGTGTCAGAATTTCATTTTTTTTAGGGTGAAATAGTATTCCAGTATAGGGATGTACCATATTTTATTTATCGATTCATCATCTGTTGATGGACATTTGGGTTGTTGTTGCCACCTTTCGGCTATTGTGAATCATGCCGCCAGGGAACACCAGTGTTCTGAATTTTTTTAATGTAATGGCATTCGGGGGTCGTTTTTTTTTTTTTTTTTTTAATAAATGTTAAGAAAGAACCCAAACTGAATTAAGGAGTGGAAAATAAAAACAGGTTTCCTATGCCTCTGTACTCACCCTCTCATGGTGTTTATTTCACTGTGTTGCAAATGCCTGCCTTTGAATTGCCCACTAGATCGTGGACATTCCAAGCAGGGACTATGTCTCCCACACTGGTGGCTTGGAGAGTGGCCAACCTGGTTAACCTTCCCAGCATGCTCCTTCCGGAATGTTTTTGGTTAGAGTGGAGCAGAAAAGAGATCCAGGAAATCCTCATGGGAGGTCTGGAGAAGGAAATGAAGCATTTGTAGCTCAGATGGTTGCCTTTTTTGCTGGCTCACTTCAGCTTCTCCAACTCTTGGCCAGTGTGTTTAGCTCTACTACATAGAGTTCTAGCCTCTGCAGGACTCACACCACCAACATCAGAGAAACAAGAGCGGATGTGGATTTGTCTGTCTTTATGGGCTTGTGCGTGTGAGTTCCAGTTTGTTCTTGCCTTCCTCCACTTAGCATCCATCTATTCTTCCTATCTGTCCTGTGAGCTTCAAGATCCAGTGTCAGAAGCAAAGATGATAGCCTTACAGAGACTGCTTAATCAGCTCCCATGATTGTGTAAAGTAAAATCCTTATAACGAATTCTCTCTCTCATATGTATAAATACATAATTTATATATATGTATATTTGATTTGATGGCTTAGCTGCATTTTACTGGTTTTCTTTCAGTCTATATATAATATTTAATCTTCTGCTTCTTGGATTAAACCCTAATGGGTATGTACTCATTTATCAATCAACAAATATTGATAACAAATATTGATAACAAATACTGAGCTGCTACTATGCACCAGACACTAGGTTCTAGGTGCTGGGTGTACAGCAGCGAATAAAGCAAAGTCCCTGCCATCAGGGACTCACATTTACTGTTGCGTCCCCAAGATGCGACACACTGCTGCAAGAAAGAGTCTTGGCTTCGGTTCGAGTGTTCACTCTATTAACAATGGTGTGACATTGGGTCAAAATCCCTCCATCTCTCCATGCCTCGATTTCTTCCTTAGGAAAGATGGAACACCAACCTTCCAACCTACTTCTCATGGAAATGCAGTTAATGCAAACAGCAGTTGAAAGACATCTGAGAAATGAGCTCTAAAAAAAATAAAGGAAGCAAAAACAAAAACCGGTCCAGGATATTGTCATAATCTTTTATTATGTATCAAATTGTCTTCAACATAAGTTACAATCTGATTAAATTTGATAGACATATTTTATCTATTTAAAGACAAAAAAAATTCTCTTTCTGTACAATATCGTTTGTCTAGAGTCTAGCAAATATAGTACCTTTCATTGCAGGATTTCTGCTTAACATAATAAGCAAAAACAAATAACCAAAATTTATAAACCAAAGCAAACCCAATCCCCCAATCTCTCAACTACAAATATCAATATTGAATAAAGCATTAAAAAGATAAACACAGAATAACTTTTGTATGTGTTTAGAAATGCAGAATGAATACTAAAGTTAGTGGCAAAAAAGAAAAAAAAAATGATAAAAAACCAAAAAAACAAAAATAAAACCCCAAGAAAATAACTAACAATCTTCAGGGGTAAACTTTCCTGCTCAGGAGTACAAGCTGACTCTAGACCATCTCTCGGTTCCTGCGGATGGCACAGCACAGGATCATACTGAAGATCATGCCAAATATCTGGAAGACAGGGTGGAAGAACAGGTGGAACAGGGTGGTTTTGCGAAGGAAAAGACATGAGTCATTCAGGCCAAGACAAAGGATCAGGAGAATGGTGGCCACGAGGCCAAAGTTACATGTCAAAGCAGGAGAGATGTAGGCTAAATAATGGGGAGGATCACTGACTGGTGGGATTCTGAGAGTCTGCAGCCACTTGCTGATGCAAACTGCACAAGCACCTGCCCTGGAGAACTTGAAGGGGGAAACAAGCTCAGAGCTAACTGAATGTTCAAATTCCAGATATTCCAATAATCCACACAGGTTGGTACTTTTGTTTCCACCTCTGTGTATTTGTGTGTTTTACATTCTATTTTAAAAGGTACTGTTAATGTCTTCTACTGAAAGCTACTTCAAGCCTTTCTAGATGCAGATGAGAGGTACACATAACCACTGAGAAAGGAAGCAATTCTCTCTTTTGGGGTAGTTTTGCAAGGGTTCCCCTAAAGAGTTCTCATCACTTCCTCCTGGGGAGAAAGGAAGAGATCCCAGGGAATCTTGTTGACCCTTGATGGTTTCTGGGGCTGATTAGTAAGAGAGCTTTCAGGCTTCCTGATGGGTGTCCACCCCTTGCTGCCTTTCAGACTATGGGGGGAGGTGAAATAGTTCCCATCCCTGTAGCTTTTACTGAACTACTGTCTGAGGGAAAAGAGCAGGTGCTTGATGAAAACATGTTCTGAAAATTATCCCAGGATAACGAGATAACGAACAGGTTTGGGTGATTTATATCCTTGTACGGTCCTAACCTATGCATAGTTTGAAGACCAGCAGAAATGGTTATCACCTTACATTTATCTGTGAACCTTAATAATTAAGAGAATGGATTTTGGAGACACACTGAGTTCAAATCCCAAATGCTTCACTCATGAGCTCAGAGACTTTGATCAACTTACTCAACCTTTCTGTCTCTCCATTCCCTAGTCTCTAAAACGGGAATGCTAATAGTTCCCACCTCATAGGTATGGCAAAGACTCAATTGGTTGATAAATGTGTGGCACTTAACATAGTGTTTGGCCAGAGCATGCACTTAATGTCAATCACTATGAGGACCATTCCCTCCTGGAGTATGGGACACTCACCATCACCACGGCAATCCCGATGCCCACCGCGCCAATGATGTGAAATTTGTTGTGGAAGACTTCTTTGATGGCCTCAGGGCAGGGCTTAGGGGGAAAAACCAAGACCCCAGTCACACGCGATCCCTGCTCCCCTCCTCCGGGTACACCTCCTCCCTCCCATGGTACCCGTTTCACACCCAGACCACTGATGGTCCCAGAGAAAGGGTGGGGATAGGAATGTTCAGGTGTCTTGGCTGGTAGATGGAAAGGAGGACCAAGAAATATAGGTAGTGGGTCTCTAAAATTTGGGCAAGAAATCGGAAGAAAGAGGGGCAAGTCTCTGCTTTGGGTCTATTTCTTATTCTGAAGTTTGGGCATCAGCTCTAGCTTATAATCATGAGCCATTTATAAGTCTAAAAAGCAAGAGTCCAGGACTCAAAGCACACCTGTCTTTGATGGCTTGAGTACTGGGGGAGGCTGATCATGGGGCATCAATGGGCGGTTCTAGGTGCCAAATCACTGCAGGCAGCTGGAACACTTTGCTATTTCCCTGGTGTGGCCTTTGGTTTGTTGCCTTTGAGGACACAGAAGCCCCAGGGCAGGGGAGAAATGAGATGGCCACTCTGGGATTCTCACAGGTGGAATAAGTATTTATGAAGTGTTTGGATGTCTAGCCTCCTGGATCGAGAGGACACATTTCACTTCTACCCTCGTGGGATTTGCCCAGAGCAAGTGGGCAGGGGCACAAGAGCCCTGCTCTTAAAGTTTACCTTCACTGAGATGCTCGAGAGTAAATCCTTTTCGGGGCAGATGTCTGAGATGAATTGTTCTACTCCCCCAGCAATACCACAGCAGTTCAACTGCAGAGAGAAAGGCAGGGATGGAGGTAAGAGAAACAAACTAAAAAAAAAAAAAATGATTAAAATAGAGATGTACTTGGTCTGGTAAACAAGTACCCCATGTGCGCAAACATTCTGAAGACGGGTCAGAAAAAGGGTTGGAGTCTTTGCAAAGACGACATACCGCGTAGTGGATGGCTTTCAGCGTTTCCCGTTGGGGCTCGTCCTTGGATTTCAGCTTTGAGTAGGTGTCCTTGTAAAATTCCTGGAGTTCTTTAATCACCTACAATGGACAGATGAGGGACAAATGAACAAACGTTTTCATGAACAGATGTCACCTGTTCCACCTTGTTCGTGAGCAGCCGACAGATTTCCATACTCGGAAAACGTTACCTAGCAGACTGCCTCTTTCTTGGCATCTCTAGGGCCCCTCCCTCCCCTCTCACACCCTCTGGGAACAGCTCCTGCCATTCTGCCTTCTCTTGTACTTATGGCTGGTCCCTTCAGCCCCAGTTGGCTCCTTCCCTTCTATCTATGGACAAAACGGAATTTCCCGATCTAAAGAATAAAAACAGGTCCTACTCCTGATCTGGCCAGTTCCTCAGGCTTCCATCTTCTGTTCTTCACTTAGAGACTGTGTGACTTTTGGTCAATTAACCAAACCTCTCTTCACACCTCTTTCTGTATATTTAGGACGGAGATTATAATAATCCCTACCTCAGAGGTTACTGTAAGGATTTCAACGTGACATTGCATGTTAAGCCCTTAACACAGTATCTGGTACAGAGTAAATCGGGAATGAGTATTAGCTATTTTTTGTAATAGAAAGGACGTATTATCATTCTCCTATAACTGGGTGCATTCTAATTTAATGGATGCCTGTCCTTTGGTCCCCCCTCCCCTACAACATCAATTAACTGATCGACATCCAGCACTTCTTCTTCAGCATCTTTCATAATTATCCCTTCCTATTTCTACAGCTGCAGCTTCTTTTATCTGAATTAAACCATTTTAAAAACAGAACAAGACAAAACGGGGTTCCTCTATCTAGTGTCTTTCTTCTCTCTCTCCTGCTATATATGACAAGACAGCCCTTCCTCAAACACAGCTCATCCTGGTCCATAACTCTTTGGTGGCTCCCCACAGAAACCCAAGCCCAGCTGTGCTCAGATCCTTTTTTGGCTGGAAGTACCCTGTCTCCCACCGACTTTCCTCCGGAAGCCTTATCTCTCATTCAAGGTTTAGGTCAGTGCCCTCTCCTCCACGAAGCCAAGAGATTTCCCTTCTCCACCCTACTCTTTCAAATCCTGTGGAACTTTTGGATATAAGTGAATTCTATAACACCTATCAAACACATGTCTTTCTGCCGCATTAGGTGGCAAAGGTTCTTAAAGTGGGAACCACAGCTCGTGCATCTCTAGACCCTGCATAGCAGCCAGTTCATGGTGGCAAACAGTTATAGACTAGGTAAAGGAGCAATGGTGTCCACCCCACAGAAAGCTATGTTTTCCTAAGCTGTCTTTCCAGAGGAGTTGGGGGGAAGGGCTGCTGAAGTGTGAGATACACACAGAGATACACAGACCCAATGACTATTTCCTGAACATCTACTATGTGCCAGCACTATTCAAGGAGCTGGAAGCAGTGGTCGGCACGATACTGCACAGGGTAGTATAAACGCTCCCATTTCCTGCCCGGGGGGGTGGTGAGGGGGTGGCTCATGTTCTAAGGGGCATGTGGGAACACGGTAAAATAAGAGGCATGACCAAAGTGGCCTGCCAGGATACCCTTCTACCTGCATCACCTCCCATCCCCAAACTCCCAAACCCATATCACTGCAGGTCCCAAGAGATCTTATAGGAAAAACCTACCTCATCTTTGTGGGAATATCCCCAGATGGCTGCAGCTATTTCAAGAGCAAATATCACCAGGAGGAAGGCAAAGAACTAGAAGGCAAAAAGGAGGTGGGGTTAGGAGCAATCCTAGCCAACCAGAAAAGGCAAAGGGTATTCTGGAGAACAACAATGACAAGAAGAATGACAACTCTCTGGGGATTGGACACCTGGAGACACCAATGAACAGCCTGGAAGGGGCAGGGAAATAGTTTACAGAACTGTGAGTGTCAAGCCTAGCTGAGGAGTGAAAGCTGTAGTAGAAAAAGGTTCCTACTCAGGAGGAAAGAACGGGATACAGCTGACCCCAGAATTTCTAAGGTATTAATTAGTTAGGAGTCTACCAGTGATAAAATACCATCGCTCACTCATAAAGCCACAGAGATTTGGAAAAATAAAGTAAATACACTCTGGAATTTGAGAAAAATTTTAACGAATTCTGAAACAAGAAAAGGCAAGGGTATCTGTGGATTCAGGTGGGGGCGTGTGGGGTGGGGAAAGTAAACATGGTCCTCAAACAAAGTGCTGACATTTAGTCACCAAAGGAAAGTGATAGATAGACAGGCTCCAGAGAGGAAGAGGAGGAAAGCATGGCCACAGGGGAAGAGGACAAGATGCTGCGTGGTAGGAGGCTGGGGCAGGGCCTGGGGCGGAGGAACACTGGGGAGGCTAGCCCTTGAGGTACCCTCTTTACCCCATGCCACCCCATCTGTTCTATGGGATTTTGGGGGCAGGGAGCCTTCGAGTCAGAGTGGCTGTGGGAAACACAGAGGGATACTCACCAATCCCAGCATGCACTGGGACTCTTGCACAGCCCCACAGCAGCCCAGGAAACCCACGAGCATCATGAGGGCGCCGGCTCCAATCAGAATATAAACTCCTGAAGGGAGAGGAAAGGGGTCAAGACATGGAGACATCACTGTGGAGGCCCAGATAGTTCCTGCAATTTCCTTTTTCCCTCTACATGACTGTGCTGTACCCCATCCTCACTGGCCCCATCTCAGGGAAGAAGTACCTTATCCTTAAAAAATAGCCTCCTCCATCTCTGCCCTTAAGTCTCCTTCCCACCATGTCTCTCTTCTGGGACCCCATCCCATCAAGTCCTCACTCCTACCTTCCCCTCAGCCTTCCTGGAAGGTGCCCATTACCCTTTAACAGGGACAAAGAAGATCCTTGGGAACCCCCAGATTCTACTCATGGCACAAACTGGTCTAGTCTGTCAGCTATTTCCAGCTAGATGAATCCAATCACGCAAATTAAAATAGACCCTCCAAACTCAGACTAACTTCCTGGCACTCTGATCAGCCTCCTGCTGGCCTCTACCTGACAGAAGAGGATGCTTTTTTAGCAGGACGGGGCAGTGTACACTCAGGCGGCCAGCTCTGCCTGCTTCCTGGAGGGGATGCCTCCCGCCCTGATGCAGACGGCAGTGAGGCATGCACAGTAGGTAGCACCCAAGGGCACATGTTGGCAAAGGTATGAGTAGCTTGCTCTACTGCAAAGAATATAGATTTGGGGTCAGGAGACCCTTGATTTGGTCTCAACTCTGCTACTAACTGCTGTGTCATCCTGGGTAAGACACATTCCCTCTCTAGGCCTCAACTTCCTTATCAGTCAAACGAGACGTTGGTTGCTAGAAAATTTCAAAAAATCCTTTATAACGACTAAAGAGATCTTATAGTTGCAATTCGGTTACTCCAGCTTAAGGGAGAAAAGGATCTTCCTTGCTAAAAGGAAGGTGAGTGACACTGTTTCTAAGCTCTCAATTTTAGAGGGAATGGTGAGAAGGGCAGTGACTTCTACAACTCCTGTCTATGCCCAACACAATGCACATTCCTGGTACAGGCAATGCAGTGGGGGGTGCCCTGGCCCTAGTCACTCCATAACCCCTAGGGAATGCCCAGAGGGGCCCATCTTACTGTTATTTTCTGGAGGGACTGTGCCCTTACTTGACTCCCCCAACAGGCAGGCACCATGGAAAAACTGGCAGAGAAGTCCCGAGCCTCCCTGCCTTGCAGGCACCTTCTACCCAACCCCAGGGGGCTGCTGTCATATGCTGAGAGCACCCACTCTGAAGCCCAGAACACCTGGGTTTGAAAGCCAGCACTGTGACCCTGGCAAGGCCTCTTAATCTCTCTGTGCGACACTTTTCTATCTGCAAAATGGGGATGGTAATAATGTCTACCATGGGATCGTTGTGAAGATTAAGCAGTATGTATTTCGAACGTGTCGAAGTGCTAGCTACTGTTAATCTTGAGAATGCAAAGGATGAGTGACAATTATTAATAATCACAGTAGTAAGTCTTTCTATACTTGCTGATCCCTTCCTGCTAAGGGTCCAGGGCAACTTCCTTAAAGTAGAAGCTGAAAGTGAGAGTCTGTGACGCTTCTGCACAATACACAACAGGATACTGCAGTGAGAACCCTTGGCAGGTGTCACAGTGACTTCACTGTCCCACATCCGTACCCCTAGTACGGGGCCGAGGCTTTGCAGGCGACACATCGTGTAGTTTGCCTGCAGCTGAGGCTCACGGGCAGCGCCGAGCAGAGAGGACACAAGGAAGCATTTGTGCCTCTCCCTCTCTTCCCCTACATCTGTCGTGATGTCAAGTCACGTGGGTTTACTGGCAAACCTCTATGTTGTATGAATATGGGTATTGTTCCTGTGCACGCCTGGCCCAGACTGGGCAAGGGGACAAATGCAGTTTGTCCTCGAGTCAAGTTCTATCCTCCCAGGCAGTCCAATACTGTGGGGCCACAGGCTGGTCCTAGAGAGGCAGTGGAGCCCCAGACCTAGGCATTGTGGGAGGAGGGGCCCTGACATGGGGACACTAGCAAGCTAAGGCAGTGACAGGGCCCCAGTTTCTCCCCATCTCGTTGAGACAAGACAACGAAGGATGAGTCACTTCTTTGCGCTCCATAGCAGGAGCTGAATAAATAGGGGGTACTAAGAGATAAAAGGGATTTATGAGCACACGAAATCAAGTCGAGTGGGAATGAACAGACAGACGTGTTTTCTCTAAGCCCAGATCTCAATTCGTAAGCCCAGAGACACTGGCAGAAGTCAGGGAGTTGAGTTAGCAGGAACAGGCCCCTGCAATAGGAAAAAGCATTTCCCATGGGGGGGGAGAGAGAGAGAGAGAGAGAGAGAGAGAGAGAGGAGGGAGGGAACATCTTCCTAATGGGCCTTGGTTAATATTAAATATTCATTCCTGGGGTCAACAGATGAAGACTTTAGGACAAAGGGTCTTGTTGGTTTTAAATCTTGCTCAGACAGCTGCAGATCTGGGGTATCTTAGCTTTACCCTTCCCTGGCAGCTGTTTATGTGGATTTTAGCAGCAGGTATAGGGTGGCTCGTCCACAAGCAGCCCCCTTGGAAGCCACGGGACCACTGCAGGGCTCGGGGCTGCTTCTTAAAAGGGCCATCCAGGGATTCCCCTTGCAAAGTTCCTCCCAGCCTCCATCTCGAGATTGTTAGCAAAGGCCGGCCATGAGAGATGACAAAGTGTTCCCCTTTATAAAACAAGTGAATGTTGGCTTTCTGTCTGACTCATGGAAAAAGTTATTCGTCACAGGGCCTTCTCTAGGATTAGTGTATTAATTTACTTAAGGGCTGTGTATTCCGCTTTTTTCAGGCTGACATTATAATTATAGGCCTAGTTAAAAAAAAAGCCCTTGGTGTAGCAGTGACAGATGCCAGGGTGGCCTTTACAGCAGAAATGGGGCTTTTTTTTTTTCACCTGTTTATCAGAGCTTTCGGCTTTGGCTAGAGAGAGGACACATCAGCCTCCTGTCATCAACCCAACCCCATCTTGCAGACAGCACTCACCATACCTGTTTGTGTGCAGAACAAAATCTGGCAGGGCTTCTGGCCTCCACTTCCCTAGAACAGCTTATTACCTCCAGTTAACTCAATCAGGGTTTCCGGGAACTCTAACTTTGCTCCCAGTGGCGCTCTCTTGGTCCCTCTCCATCCCATTGCCGGCTGTTCTCATTAATGAGCACCACAGTGAACCCCATTTGTCAAGCATGGAGTTCCCTGCCTCGGAGAGGTGTGGGTGTGTACACTCTGCCAGTTCCAGGAAGAAAAGGGGGAACACAAGACACAGAGCGACAAAACGAGCTGCCCCAGGACACAAGCTGGAACAGGGCTCCTAGGGGCAATGCCATGTGTTCTGGAAATCATCAGGCACCATGTCATGAAAGGGGAATGGTCCTCAGGAGGAGGGGTGTTCACGGCCTCTGGCTGGAGCCCCCCAGATTCCCTCACTCAGTGGCTATGGTTTTGGGAGGACACTAAGGAATTAAGAAGAGCTGCTGGCCTGAGACCAAGAAAATGAAGTTCCCCAACACGTTTGCAGCCTGGGATTATGGATATTGCTGACGGGCTGAATCTCCCAGGGCCTGAACTGCAGAGAAGGCCCATATAAGGCTGTCTGTCAGCTGTTCTGGATTCACTACGGACTGTTTTGAATGCTGGAGAGTTTCTTTTTCACTTGCTTCTCCATCTGGTTATGCATTCTCTACTTTGAAACCTGCAGTCCTGCTGGAGAAGGCACCCTCGGTCCTTCGGGTTTCCTGATGGGTCACAGCTGCATGGTTAGCTGGCCTGTAGGTTGCCCTACAGATGTTTAGTGACCCCGTGTAAAGGATGGTCACTCCCCGATGTCGGGAATAGAGCAGGGTGGAGCTGGCACTCAGCTGGAAGAGGGACGATGGGTCGATACCCAGGCGGGTGTCACAGTCCGAGGGGGAAAGGGGGCACAGAGAGTAAAGCCTCCTTGGCCCTTTGCCCGTGGACAATAATCATTCAGTTTCCCAAAGCACTCAGTGAAGTGCAGGGCCCAGCCAGACCCATGCCCACGCAGCTGACTGGTGTTCTAGTGTCACTTGTATCATCGTCTGTTCCTTGGGCTTCTGCAAGCAGAATGAAGTCTTCAAAGCTGAGAGCTTTCCCAGGCGGGGGGGTCCACTTCCTCTGTTAGAGCTAAGGGGGCCGTGGTCACTGGCCCCCAACTAGAAATTGCTGTGTCTCATCTCATCAGGATTGTACCTGCAAATCCTTGTCCTGGTCACTTTGGGTAGGACCACTGGCCATTGGGGGACGGGGAGTGGCCCTGCAATGACCCGGGGGATCTGAACCCTGTGAGGTCCCCAGAGATAGGCCCTGGCTCCCTGACCCTGTGCTCACTACTCTCCTGACACTCTGCATGACTTTCCCACCTGTCATCTGCTGGCAAGGACCACCAGTGCTTGGGGCTTCTCTCTCCTGACTATAATTTGGGCGAAGTCAAAGGCCAAAAGAGCCCTGCCCCACTCCCGCCCATAGGGAACATCCAGTCAGTGGAGGTATTTTCTATTACTGCATGAAGAGCCCTACCTGCAATCTAGCACAGGTAATACAAACAGCAGCTTTCCCAGGCCTGGGTTTAGATCCTAGCCCTGCCTCTTGAGGGGTACGGGGTTGGGCAGGTTATTTAACCTCTCTAGCCCTTGGTTTCTTTATTGATGAGATGGGAATCATTCCAAATACCCTGAAGAGTTACCGGGGTTATATTATATGACATGTGTGAGACAGTGAATGACACACAAAGGGATTCAAGATGTATGTATGTCTTCCTCCCAATTCCATCCACTCACCAATGAGATCCTTACCCCCCACATCTAAAAACACACGGAATTAGCCAGAGTCCTAGATAACAATAAATAGAAACGGGTCGTTGGGAGTGGCCGGAGCATGAAGCCAGGCCCTCTGTAGAGAACAATGGGAGATGACTGTGTGGGGAGAGCGGGACATGCTGGGGGCTCGCCTTAGGACGACCCACTGAAAAGGATGCCAATTATTCCCACATTCCCGCAGCAGATCTGCTGTCCCCTAAGAGGGTGCCCAGCTCCCTGGTGTGACAGAACATGACAAGACATGACGTGATGCAGAGTGCTCGTGGCCTCCCCTCAACACCCCGCCCCCACTGCTCCAGCTCCACAGGGCAGCATTCCGGGCCTGTCGCAGACTCACAGAAAACACGCTGTTGCTAAAACAAGTCAGGGCACCATGAGACCAGCTCCCTAAAAACTCTCTGTGTAGTTTTTTTTTTAAAACATACATTGTGCTTTTCTTTCCCTCACTTTCTTTCTCACGATAGGGAGGCACGCCCTAACAAACTCCAGCTACCAATCACAAAAGAATAATAATAGCAGGGAAACTCTCCACATAGCCTGGGTGCCATGTAACCAAGAGGCTATGCCAGTCTGTTCACAGCTGGCCTCCGGGAGGCGGGAAGGGGTCCGCATGCTGGCAGCCACTGCGCTCTTCCTGAAGGCCTGGGAGATAAGTCTCTTCAGATGTTTTCTTCATCTTTTTTTTTTTTTTAAAAATAACTTCTTTGGTGGGCGGGAAGGAAGTGACCAAACTTGCACTTTGAGCTTGATGACATGAGAGCACCATCCTAAAAATAGGGGGCTGCTTTTGCTTCTCGCAAATGAGATGTTTCCTATCTCCAAACCAGGCCACGGATTCCGTGCATTAATTTAGAAACTGGGGAATTGTGCTTGACAGGCCTCAGTGCTCCTCCTCCTTTTAGAGAGTTTACACAGTGACACAGTGGTAAACAGTGGCAGAATGACACTAGAAAAAATGCCAAGGAGCAGGCGGGTACAAAGAATCCTGCTAAGTCAATTTATGCTTAAATTGGAAACCTTTGCCCTAAAGCAAGAGCACTTTAGAAAACAAACATATAAAACGAAACAATCATGGCAAAGTTTCTTGAATTAGGCAGATGATGAAGTTTAAGATGACACGAAATGAAGACAGAGGATCAGGGATGAGAATGGAGGTTCTTTAAACCCTCGAGAGTGGCAACAACTTTCGGAGAGCCAACTTTACATCTGAGAATGGTCAAAGTGCCAGACTTAGCATTAAAAAAGAAACCACATCAGTCAAATGCAAATTCACGGGCATAACTACACAAAAGCAAGGTTCCAAAGGGACAAGACTGGCCAGGACTGGCCACATGGCCAGAGCGCAAGTCTTTCCCAAGGCTGAGGCTCTGGGTCAACACAGCTGGGGGAAGTACCAAGTCTACCCACCCTTACCTGTGTAGAAGCTGGAATGATTGTTTTCTTGCTCGAAAATGCTCTTGGTCTGAGAGTCGAATCGGAGCCATAGTCCAATGGCAAGGACTGCAATCCCGGCAAGCTGCAAGAAATACAGGATGTTGGCGCTAATCCCGGCTGCCAGGGAAAACTTGGTGTCCAAGTGCCAAAGATGAGACCACCCTTGGTCTCTGCCCCTCATCACGCACCGGTAGTAGCAGCAGGTAGTATGGGGATGCAAGTGGGGGGAGATCAATCCATTTGCTAAACATATTAGTAAGTTGGAAATAAACACTTACAGTATGGACAACAGAGGACTATACAGCAGTGAAAATGAACTGACGCAGCAACATACAGTACTGTGAGTGCATCTCACAGATGCTCAACAGAAGAAGCAAGAACCACAAGAACACGTATAATGATTCCATGTAGTTAAATATTACCGGTTAGGGGTATATATCAATGACAAAGGGAGTAAAAGGAAGTGATTATCATAAAGTCAAGTTAGAGGTGCCCTGTAGCTGGAGGGAAGGATTTCTGGTAAGAAAAGAATACTTCAGGGGCACTGGCGATATTCTAGCTTTTGACTTGGGTGGTAGTGATGTAGTTATCTCTTCATAGCGATTCCTTAAACAGCTCATGTTTTATGCACTACTCTGTGTATATACCATACAATAATAAAACAAAAACGCTGTTCAAAGGGCACACCCGTTTATCCATGAGGCAGCTGTGATTCCTTATCAGACCACACTGTTCAGCGAATGACATAGCAGAGTCTCCCCTAGGCTGTCCATTTTTGGTCCTTTACACCTTTTCACACGGGGAAATCTTAGAAGGGGACCTGTCCAATTCCAGGTTTTAGGAGCATGCATGCTTCCTTACAGGTGATTCTAATAAACATCAGACAAAAACCTCCACGTAATCTCACAGTCTTGTGAAGGTCCCATTTCCTAGGTGGGCAGGTTGAGATACCGGCTCCTAGAGGGCAGACTTCCCCAAGAAGGCACAGAACTGATGTGCCAAAGCCTGGCCTGGCATTGTTTAACTAGATGCCCGTGGAGGTGGCCTCCAGCCACGCCCTCCTGTACCAGCAGCACCAGCAGCACCAGCTGAGCTCCGTCTCTCACGCTCGTACCAGGGCCTGCTGGGGAGTGACTCAGGCTGCAGTGTGGTGGTGGCCAGCTGGACGCACGAGGGCGTGGGCCCCAGGCCAATGCCCGTGCACCGGGTTTTGCTGGCCACTCTCTTCACAACAGAGGCGCCCTATCTGCCAGAGCCCTGCTCTTCAGGAAGCTTGGTTCTCTGCCCCGGGAGCTGGGACAGCCCGTGGTGTGGACCGGCCTCTCTTTCCTGTTCCCCATGACTCGGCAGTGGGTTTGGATGTGCTGGGGGGAAGGGAAATGACAACGGTGTGAAGGGCGACCCAAGACCTCCGCCTGCGGTCGAGCCCAAACTGTGCCCGCGCTGCAGCGGCGTGTGCTCCCTGGGTGTAACTTCCACAGCGAGGGCCTGGGACTCCTGGCTTAGAGTTCCACTGCTTCAGTTTTCCCACCTGTAAAATGGGAATGGTGAGATGCGGCCCTTCCTCGCCTTTTAAGTATGGCTAAAAATAAAGGAGATTATATTAGAGGTACTACAAGTATTAGAAGTTATCGTGAGAATAAACAATCGGCACTCGGGGCGCCAGGACTGCCCTCCCCGCCCTTGGACAGTCGGTCACTCCGCGCCTTCCCAAACCTCTCAGTCCTCATCTTAGAAAGGCAACACAAAACATCAGTGAGAACCACCAATGCCACATGGCCCAACGCTGGACCAAGCAAAAAACAAACTAACGAAACAGCAACAATAAAAACAAACAAAGAAAAACTCATGGAGGCCTGGCTTGAAGGAGCAGAAATTTTAGAGTTAAAACAAAAGCTGAGAGCTTGGGGTTCAAGCAGACGTGGCATCTCATTAACAAAAGACACGCAGGTGAGTTAGGGCGTTCTGGGCTAATCCGAAGACAGCAGACATGGCTCTGTGGGGGAGAGTGTGAGTTTTTCCCCCCTTCCCCAGTCTGGACACTCTAGTTCGACTCAGGAGCCCTGCCATTAGAGCAGAGGCACGGTGGGGCCCAGTGGGACATCCCCATACGCTGCAGATGGAACGAGCACTCACCAAGTACTAGACAGGTCTTGACTCTGTGGCGGGCAGGCCCTGGCCTAGCTCCCCTAGGGTCCTGGAAAGTTAAAAGGAAGTGATGCTTTTCTCCTCTCCCCCACCCCAATATATGGCAGCCCAATCAGATCCCTGGAAAATGGAACACTGAAGCCGCTGGCCTCCTTGTGGACATGAAAGTGTCAACCCAAGAACTCTGTAAGCTAGAGCCTCACATACACTTGGTAGTTCTAAGTTTTGATTACCACTTAGCTGCCAGCCTTTTCCTCAGTCTCCCTTCTCACCCTCATCTTGGTGGTGCTACCGCTCAGGGCACCTGGGACCTGAGAGAGGCCGTATCCTTTACTGTCCTTTCTGCTCTAGGCTTGTGCTTATCAAAAGAATTATCCTTGAGTCATCTTCTCTCCCTGTTGATAAAGTTACTCACCGACTCCTTCCTCTGCTAGGAAAATTCTTACACAAATCCCCATGGAAAGAATAAAAACAATCCTGTCCAAAAGAACTAAGCTACAAAAAAGGAAAGAGAGCTACAGCCTGCACAGAAGCTTCTCATGAGCAAGAGCTGGGTGTCTGGGAGTGACACCATGCTCACGACAGAGCTTTCCAATAAAACCCGCAATGGTCAAACCTCTTCAATGTTATAATTTCAAGGGTCCTAAGCCAATCTGTCAAAGTTAGTCATTTATCTGGTCTCCATGCCCAGGTGGCAAGAAGGACACGGTGCTGGAGAACTGGAATCAGGACGAGAAAGACTTCAGGCCTCACCCTGGCCAAGAACAAGACCAGATTCAGGAGTTGGGGGTCCCGCAGGTCTGGACCCCACCCTGGACCTCATGGCAAGCTGCCTGGTTGTCAAAGCCAGAACACTTGCCTGGAATAAGGAAGAAGAAAAACAGCCGGCTCTGGAGAAATGGAAAAAGCAGTAACAGATCTCAGTCTCACGCCTAAAGCCTCACTACAGAGAGGGGGAAGTTCAAGAAATCCAGTGGGAAGGGAGGTCTGGGGCAGGACTGGGAACACTTGGTTCACCAAAATCGCAGAGGAATGAGCCTGCTGCCTTTTTGATTGGATTACAGAGTTAAATGGCCTGAGGAGAGGCTGTGTAAACCATTAGCTGCCCATTTTCTGTAATGCTATTGGAGAAATTGCTCCAGTTGGCTGGGTCACGATGGCTGGGGGTCACAGGGCCACTGAAGTGAGTATAACTGGTGCAATCTAGTAATAGCTTCTACTGTTGTGCAGGCAGCACACTACCTAAGGAGTTCAGAGTATTTCCCGGGAGAGCTCACTTTCTGGTGTGGCACGGAGGGGCTCCCTAGCTCCTACCTGGCTTTTGCCCCCAGCTACTTGAATACTAGGAGAAACCAAATGAGAAGGGACCAGCAAGAACCAAAGAGAGCTTTGACCTTGAAAAAAGGCCATCCGGTCAATGATTAAGGGACTCCACAGAATAAGAAAATAGGGTCTGACAGGCCAAGAAGTTGATGGTTTCCTTCCAGGTTAATAACTGATATGTGGCAGGAATGTTGGCCACACAGTTGTTACGGCTGCTGCCTCACTCTTGCCCATCATCGTAGATCTGAGCAGGTTTGAGTGGATGCTCAGACAATTCCCTGCTCACAGAGCCCTTGAAAGAGGACAGCAAACCTGCCCAAGATCACCAACTGGCCTGGTGGGGACAGAGGTAAAAAGTCCAGTGCTCCTACTCCTAGCCCCAGGCTCTGCCCAAGGTCACCTCTCATTTCCAATTACAGCCAAAGGGAAACATTCTGGTCCTGCTGAGAAAAGCTCCTTTGCCTTTGGGGCAGAAATGGTCTCACCCATTTGGTAGTACAGGGAAAGAAAGACAGCTCTCCCTCCAACTCTCACCTCAATGTTTTGTTGGAAAATTTTTTTATTTCTTCAAAGAACTCATTTTCTTTTCAGAAAGATGGGCCATGAGAAAAACATGACACAAACCTAAATTGAGGATATTGTACAAAATACTTGACCAGAACTTCTCAAAATGGTCAAGGTCATGAAAAACAAGGCAAGACAGAAACTGGCATAGACCAGAGATGAAGGCGACATGACAACTGTCATGTGGTATCATGGATGGGATCCTGAAACAGAAAAGAGGACATTACCGGAAAAACCAGTGGAAACTCTGAGTAAGTCTAGTTTAGTTAGCAGTACTGTATCAATGTCGATTTCTTAGTTGTGACAAATGTAGCATAGAAATATAACATATTAATGACAGGAGAAACTGGTAGGGCTACAAAGGAACTCTATATTATCTCTGCAACTTTTCTGTAGATCTGAAAGTATTCTAAAACTCAAAGTGTATATACATCTATACAAAGAAGATGGGGCCTCTCTTTCTAAGTTTCCTGTCTCCTTCAAGAACCTGCTCCATTAATCCGCCTCTTTCCTGCCTCTGTACGCCGTCTCTGCCACCGCTGCATCTTTTGCCAACACATAAGAGCAAGTCTGTCCATCCTAAAAAAAAAACCCAAATAGAAAACAAACCCTTTCTTCCTTCAACCTAACTCTGAAAGGCTGCAGACAGCTTAGGTCGGTGGCCAATGTTTAAGACTTTTGCTCCATCTTACGTTTTTTGATCTGCCAGCAGCATGACAGCATCGAACCCTGCCTCCTCCTCACCTGCTCTGTGGATGGAATCAAAGTCTCTCAAATAAGTCTTGTGCATTCCCACCTCTGCTTATGCAAGTCCTTCTTCTTTGAATGCCATTCTGTCTACCTAGGCCGGTGGCTTCCTACGAACATTTCTTTAGTCCCCTCCCCAGGAAATGCAATCCCGCGAGCTCCACACCTGTTCTTCTCTCCAGCATCCTGACATCCTCCATTCCTCTCACGTGTGTGCTCGTCGCACTAGAGCTTATGCTCCTTGAGGGCAGGGCCACTTCTTAGTCATTTTAGTAGCTCCCCTGCTCCATCCATACTTTG